GCTATCAGTGGATACCACCGCCTATGCAAGGGTATTCCAAAATTTCACTACTTTCACAGTAAAAAACCCTCTATGAATTCTAAGATTGAACCCCCTCTCTTCTAACCTCATGTTGTGTCCCCGGGATCTCAATACAGTTTTCAGATTGAAAAGTTTGTTCCACATATCGTGGTCCCCATTGATAATTTTGAAGACTGCAATAAGGTCCCCTCTTAATCGCCTCTTTTCTAAGGTGAATAACTCAGGCCTTCAATCCCTTCAATTTTATAGCCCTTCTTTGAACTCTCTCCAGTTCCAGGAAATTCTTCCTGAGAGTCGGCGACCAGAACTGCACCTAACCAATGATTTATAAAGTGGAAGTATTACTTTTAGATCCCTTGCTACAATCCCTCTTCTAATGCACCCCCAGTATCTTGTTAGCTTTGCTGGCTGCTACATAGTTACATAGTTATATAGTATTTGAGGTTGAATAAAGACATTAGTCCATCAAGTCCAACCTATTAGGATCTCATTCTAGGAGTACCTGTACCCCTGTATATTACGGTCCCTTAAGAAATCGTCCAAAAGTTTCTTGAACAATTCCACATTCTTTGCTGAAATCACTGTCTGTGGCAGTGAGTTCCAGACCCTAACTGATCTTACTGTGAAGAACCCCCTTCGCCCCTTGTGCTGGAATTTTTTTTCCACCAATTTTAATCTAAAAAGGAAGCTGCTGCTTGGCATTGCTTACTATTGGCAAATCTGTGGTCTATGAGGATGCCCAGGTTTTTTTTCCATGTCTAACTTCCCTGATGTAGCACCCTCCCAAGTAGTAGTCTGCACCCACATTCTTTGCTCCCATGTGCATAACCTTAAATTTTTCAACATTAAATTGCATTTTCCATCTTATAGTCCATGCCTCAATTTTATTTAGGTCCTGTTGAAGTGTGAATATATCCTATTTGGAATTTACTGCCCTACACAGTTACGTATCGTCCGCAAAAACCAAAACCGAACTAGTCCAATCTCTATGTCATGGATGAATAAGATAAACAGGATCAGTCCCAGAACTGAACCCTAAGGCACCCCACTGACAACCTTTGCCCAATTAGAGAATTACCCCTTTTTTACTACCCTCTGGGTCCGTTCTTGCAGCCAATTTTCCACCCATGTGCATACAACTCCATCTAGACCTATAGACCTTACTTTATGAAGTAAACATTTAGATACATTACAACTTTTCCTACTATCTCTGCTGCTGATGCCCTGATCGATGCCCATGACCGTCTCGTCTGTAAAGACAGAAGAAAAGAATGCATTTAACATAAACAATAAACGTGATCAGCGCCAGTAAGTGTAATGTGGAAATAAGAGTTACCAAGCACTAAGGATATAACTAAATATCTAAAAAATGTGAAAAACAATATTGTGCCGAGCTAACAATCATACATAGCTAATAAATTGAAACATATATAAGTGAGTCACATATATGAGCCTTCAAACAACTGAGGCATATAAAATATCTACACAAAGACAAAAAAGCAATATAGACAATAAAAAGTCTCAAGGAAAAAACAAAAGCAAACAATGGTGATTGTGCAAAAAAAATCCTTCAGATGATTCGCAGCCAATCTGCATATAACTCTCAGGTAAGGATAATCACACAATGCAGGCAGACCTTCACCTCCACCCAGTGAGTGATGACAACAAGTGAGTGCTCACCTGGGGAGGTAGACCTACAGAGCTAGGTCAAATGCGCTTTTTCCCTTCTTAATGGGGGAGGGAAGCCCATGCACGGAAAAGGCGATAAGGTCTCCTCAGATCACAGGTACCAGTATAAATCCAGGTGGAAAGAGAAAAAGGACAAGGACATAGTGCGTAACGTCCAATAAAATGCAATTTATTAAATAAAAAATGCGTACTCACAATGATATAAACAGTACAGGCATTGGGTATTGCTGGATCAGACCAGCAGGGCAAATGGCAGCAAAGCGATAAAAAAAACCTGTTCGTCCGGCTCAGCTCAGTGCAGTGACATCAGAAGCTCTGCCCTACGTACGTTACGTCAAAACACGTGACTTCATCAGGGGTCTCTTAAAACTTAGGACTTGCTACACACCTCCTTCTCTTATACAGGAAGTTTTGATTTTCTGGAGCTTTTACTAAGTTTTTCAGCTTTGGAGATGATAACCTGCACAAGGCAGGAATGAAAAGCAAGCCTCTGAAAGAAGTAGTGCGATGAGGATGGGATTTGAACCCATGCGTGCAGAGCACAATGGATTAGCAGTCCATCGCCTTAACCACTCAGCCACCTCATCGGAAATACAGGTGAAGGTCTGCCTGCATTGTGCGATTATCCTTACCTGAGAGTTATATGCAGATTGGCTGCGAATCATCCCCATTAATGCATTTAACATGTTTGCTTTCTCCCTGTCGGTGGTAGTGGGCCCCCCATCGCCATCCTTTATGGCAGTGGTCCCCAACCCCCGGGCCCGCGGACCGGTACCGGTCCGTGGTTCAAATGGGACCGGGCCGCCCAAGGAACATTAAATTATTTCCATTTTATTTACTGTGGTGTATTTCTCTCGGGTTTGTCCGACTTTCCAGGACGAGAGGTTAACAGGGAGCTGAGAGACGTCACCTAAAGCCGCACCAATACCGCGCATGTGCAAAATATCGTGATATCAGGGCAGTTTTAGGTGACGCCTGGAGCTGAGCGGCTGCAAGCGGCAGTGGCGTTGTAGCTTTTGTAAAGAGAAGGTGTGTATCGCTCTTCTCTCTGTTCACCGGTACTTTCTCATGTTTAACAGTGCTTGGTGTACGTGTATATTGTGTTTGCTCAAATTTAACCCACAAATTAGCAAAAATTAGTACGAAACAGACGTCGTTAGAAAGTTTCCTTGGGAAAAAGAAAAGGCCCAGTGAAGAGACAGAAGAAGGGTCTTCAACATCAAAGAAACATGTAACTTTTAAAAGACAATACCATGAGTCCTACTTGAAATATGGATTTAATCGGGACAGGTGATTCCAATCTAAAATATAAACAATCAACGTCCCCCCCTCAGCGGGCTGCGGTAAAATTATCAAACGTTGACCGGTCCGCGGCGATAAAAAGGTTGGGGAGCACTGCTTTATGGTGTCTATATGTTCCGTCCTTACCTTATATATTGAAAAAATTCCTTGGGGTTCTTTTTGCTTACTGATGCTATGTGCTCTTCATATTCTACTTTTGCTGCCCTGATTGCTTTTTTACATCTTTTGTTGTATTCCTTGTAGTTTTTGAATGCCGATGCTGACCCCTCTGATTTATATTTTTTAAACGCCTTATCCTTCTCCCTTATGTTTTGTTTTAACTTGCTTGTGCAAAGCAGGACTAAATGTAGAGAGGGCAACTTACCGCCCGGTGCCCAGAACTTCCCCGCAAGGACACGGCTGCCGCCCCTCTCCGCCCTGAGGCCGGGCCTTGTGGAGAATCCGGGCCTGCCTGTACACCGTGCTTAGGGTGCGGAGGACAGCTTGGGAGGCGGACACAGGGATCCCAACCTGAAAAAAGCAATTTCACGGAGGTGCCCTTCTCATTCCAGGGAGGTGCACTCTGCCCTTCCCCCCTAAAATGATGGCAGATAGCACCGGAAGCATTAGCTTCTTTGCTATCTGATGGTTTGTTTTTTTTTGTATTCTGATAGCTGCTGCTGTCAGAATAAAAAAATAAAATAAAAACCAGCATAGGAATGAATAGCTAAATTGCTATTTCAATTTGCAATATCCAATAGCAAGCTGGCTATTGCACCTGCCCTCTGATGCTGTCAATCACTAGAGGAGGACCTGATGGAGAACTTCAGGTCCACCTCTGCTGATTGACAGCAGCAGTGGGCGGGTGCAAAAGCTAGTCTGATATTGCAAATTGAAATAGCCAATAGCAATCTAGCTATTTATTCCTATACTGGGGGGGTTTTTTCTCTGGTGGCCTGATGTCAGGAAAAAAAAAAAAACAGATCGCAGGGAAAGGTTTACTCTCCTAGATATAGCAGAGTGAACATTTCCTGGAGAAAATGTTTCTCTCCCAGGCGGCCGGGAGCCGCTATCTAATAGCAGGAGGCTCCCAGAACGTCCGGGAGAGTTGGGATGTCTGCGGACATCTGCTGGGGGTATCACAAGACTTTTCTGTAGCAAGCTTCCTATATTGTTGCAAGATTAGCATAGTGTAGCAGGGTTTGTATGCTGGTTGTAGCAAGGCTTGTGGTCTGCTGTAGCTAGGGTTGCCACCTTTTCTTCAAGCCAAACCCGAACACTCTACCAACGAGCGGACATTTTTTTGGGACAATGAAACGTGGCTTATTCATATACAAATAGCGCCGCCCAATCATATGTAAATATCACAGTTGAGGCTATTTTCAGTGGGGGAGCAGTAGCCTCTATCTTAATTTTGGATGCCCCTTCCTGCCTGACATCTGGTGTCCGAGTTTCTGCTGCCATGAAACCCGGACACAGCATTCAAAACCCGAACTGTCCGTGTGAATCCTGGACAGGTGGCAACCCTAGCTGTAGCCCTCCTGTACTTGCCAGCAGCTAGCCCCGCCCCTCAGTTGCGCATCTGTGTTTGGTTCTGCCCTTGGATTTCAATGGATTTCAATAGATAGATATATCTATATAGATATATATATTAATATATACAAAGCAGAAGCTGAATTACTGTCCTGACTGATTTGGGACAGTTGGCAACTATGAGAGTACCAGCCAAGTTCGTGCCCTGCTCCTTTACGGCAAGAAAACGCAAAGCAGAAACTCACACCGCCGCGCGGCGTCAAGTCGCCATGGAAACCCCAACTTCCTGTTTCCGGCGGATGTGACCGATTCGTTGGGCGCCGCCATCTTGGGTACTGGCAGGCGCCGCTCCAGAGGAGAGGGGCAGTAAGGCTGAGCAGCCGGGAAAAGTAGCGTACCCCCCGGCTACACAGGTACCCACACAGCACCTCCCTGTTTCCCAAGCCAGGGGGGGCGCGATTCGCGATCCCCGAGAGCTCCCCTACCGCTGGGCAGGAAAAACAAAACGCTGGAGAGAACGGGGAAGGGGACTGCACAGAGGAAGTCCTGATGGAGGCGGCAGGTAATGGTCAACAATAACAGAAGCCAAAACGCAGTTATCGAAAGGGTAATTGAACTTTCCCAAGCGAATTTGGGAGAAGGGAATTGCCCCCATTCCCCACACTCCAATGCTCTTACCTGTCAATGAATAGGGACCTGTACACAGTCACCTGACCAATGAGAAATGCTTTCTTGGCAAGATGAGCTCTTTTGGTGAAGAAGCGCTCCGCATGGGTCAGCGCAGTCAGAAGCGCCTCTCATTGGTCAGCACGGTTAGGTGACCGCATTGACTAATGAGTGTTCGCCATTTTTGAACGGACTGTAAAATACCAACCGCAGGGCTGCACTGCTATGTATGAGGTAAGAGTCGTACATCGGCAGCCGTGGAGGGGAAAGAGCGATCGTGGACGGTTTAAAGCAGTGGTGGTGGGGAGAGGGGGCAGATTGGAGGGGCTCACTGAATTTCCCTAAATTCACCTGAGAAAGTGGAATTATTCTTTATGCTCCTTTACTCAGTGTTTCAGGCATTTTTCTAGGTGTTTTGCCACGCATTTTCAGCTTGTTTCATCCTCCATTTTGTTCCCCAGGCTGGCTCTTGCGCAACAAAATGCTAAAAAATGTGTGAAAGCGTTTGTGTCACGCATTTCCATTGAAGTCTATGGGTGGTGTCACGCATTTCCATTGAAGTCTATGGGTGGTGTCACGCATTTCCGTTGAAGTCTATGGGTGGTGTCACGCATTTCCGTTGAAGTCTATGGGTGGTGTCACGCATTTCCGTTGAAGTCTATGGGTGGTGTCACGCATTTCCGTTGAAGTCTATGGGTCCAGAATGACAGAAATCTGCAGTAAAGTAGTAACAAAATGCTCAGGTGTGAACAGGGGCCATAGAAAACAATGGGATTCCTTGTGCTTTGTACTACCTAAAGCGGACCTTTAACCATGATATCTTTAAAATAACAACAAACGCACCTTTTAGAAATGTTTAGTAATAACAATCTACAAACATACTTCTAGATGATTGCCGACTTTGTATTATGGGCATACCTTGTTTCTCTTTTCTTCACCATTCTTCTCACAGTGGCCATGTGTACTAAGGGCAGATTATTAGATCTCCATTTACTTCCTGGAACTCTGGCACGTTACTAGGACATGTGACCATGCACGTCATCTCAGGGGAGGAAAATGCCTTTCTCTGCGATCTTGTGAGATTACAGATGAGATTTCCCAGCAATGCTCTGCTGATGACAAGGAAATCCCAGTGTGCATTGTGTTGGCAAACTGAAGTCATTTGTCCTTTCACAGCAGGAGGTGAATGCTCTGCAAGTCTAAGTATTTCTCAATCACAGCATTTTACACCTGACATGTCCATGTTATTATTAATCATCATCCATAGCGGGATGCATTGGTAGAATTAGATTTTGAGTGTAAAGGTCCGGTTTAACGCTGGGGGGAGGAGAGTGAGGAGCCCCCCAGCACTGAAAGGGTTAGGTGTTTGTTTTTGTCTAGGGAAGAAAATAAAGTTATGCTCACCTGAACCTCCAACCCGTCTGCTTGTTAGACCGGTCCTTGCTACTCCCTCCAGCGGTCTAAAGCCCCGTGGTTGATTACATCCTATACAGTATATATGACGTGAGGATGCTGAGGGGCATACCATCGCTGGAGCAGTGGAGGAGACAGGCTTCAGGGACAGGTCTAGCAGCTGGACGGCTCCAAGGGTCAGTTCCGGGTATCTTTGTTATTTTCGTCCCTAGATGAAAATGAGCGCTTAACCCTCGCTGGGTGGGGGCACTTAAATGTGCTTCTTTGCTCTTGTAAGGCCTCATGCACATGGGGCTAATTGCTCTGTCAGAGGATTCTTGCAGCAGGAGTCCTAGGTGGGTCTATACAGATGTGGCCGCTGTGCTCGTTCAAATGAAGGCTGACAGCGGCCACATCTGCCCGTGGCTGTTCATTTGTAATCACGGATGGAAGGCCTGCCTGCAGTTGGGGATAGGTGAGTGACCTTCCCTGACAGGTAATCATTCCATCTACAGGCTCACTTGTCATTCCACAGGCTTGCCTCAGGATCCCGCAGCTAATACCCCCGTGGGCATGTGGCCATAGCATCCCTGCAGTTGTCACTTAGCAGACCTCAAATAGGTTGAAGTTCTTGCAAACAATTAGGCCATGTAGAATGGCAGTTGTGTTTACAGCGGGTGTGGAATTTGTATCACCCGACGCCCAGTTCCTTGCGCTGGGCAGGTGGTTTCTTCTCTGCTGCGGGCAACCAGCCTGGTCAAAGTTCAGTTGTTTTTTGTTTTTTTTCCTGAGCGGAGCAGGGAGGAAATAAGTGTCAGGCAATCCTGCCGACAGCCCTCAGAGGTCCCCCCACCGGCCCTGCTGCTGAGAGCCTCGATATGGAGAAGGAGGCAAGGGACGGGGTCACACAGGGGGTGAAAGGGAGATCGTTCTTCATGTCCCACAGACATTACCATGTAGGCTTGGATTGCTTATCAGCAGGGTTTAAAAAATCCACTCTGAGGACGCCGGAGCCCGACGAGTAACTTCCTGTCCGGCCGTTGTAATTAAACGGCCAGTCAGCAGCTTTACATTAGCTGTATTAGCAGTAGCTGTCACTGCCGGTCCCGAGATCCCGTGTGCCCAGTGCGGCCGGAACCGACACGGCTGCTTTGTGATAAGAGATCATAGGGAGGTCAGTACACAATCTCCCTCTGATCTCCTCTCCAGCCCCCGAATGCAGGAAGTGATGTATATTGCATCACTTCCGCATTCTGCTGTCACTCTCCAGCTTCAGAAGCTGGTGAAGCAGATTTCTGCTTCATCCGCTTCTCTGGGGGTCCCTAGTTTAAATGAAGGGTCTTGGAGACCCCTGATGTCTCCATAAAGAGGACCTGTCATGTAAATTGGCTATCACACAGGGGGCTTCTTAGTCTCCTATGTGATAGCAATAAAGTTGTGTATAAAAAAAAATAGTAATAAAAAAAATTAAAGCATACATTTAAAAAAAAAATGTTTAAGTCCCCCACAAACACATGCAAACATGCGTCGGATGCGCCTATGTGTGAAAACTACGTGTGTGTTACATATCGCAGTGAACGTCGGAGTGAGAGTAATAATTTTAGGGTCATTTATCACTGATAACACTAAACTGATGAGCGGTAAAAGCGTTTAAAGCGTCGGCTATGGCCAATTTTCGGTTTGGTTAGATTTTGCGGCCGCGCGCAATTTTAAGGCTTGACATGTTTGGTGTCTATTTACCCGACGTGACCCCGTCTTTTATATTTTACTAAAACTATGGGTAAGAATAAATGTTTTTTAACATAACGCAGGGAAAACATTTTTTTTTTCAAAATACACGGTACTTTATTCATTCTATAGTAAAAAAATATGTATGGCCAGCTTTAGTCTCTGTGTGGTGGGAATCATCTAGCTAAGCCGGGCTTTCTTTTTATCTCAGCAGGACACCTGAGACTGGCAGTCAGGAGCAGCCGTGCCTTATGCCAATTTTGGCCGGAACTGGCTGAAATTTGCACAGTGGGTCCTGCTCTCGGCACCCTTTCACCCGGCATCCCTCTGAAGGAGCCAGTCGGAAAATCTTCAAACAAACAGAGGCGGCAGCCAATGAGCTGCCGGCTCAGTACAGGTATTCAGCAGCGGCCGCTGTCAGAATACAATTCAAACAGCGGGAGATTCCTTGATTAAAGCTTGTAAGCACTGAAGGTGGAATCTGTCCTAATTTTTTTTCGTTTAGCTCATAGGTTGAATGAAAAAAATCGATCAGTGTATGTCCAGCTTTAGAAAATCTCACACTGCAGATATACAGCTCAGAGGATCAAGGCATGGAATGTCACGTGTCGGGGAATGACAACTATTTTTTGTAGGAGGAATTGAAAACCGATTTTTTTTCCTCCTAAGATAGCAAAAAAATACTGTTTGAGGTCAGGTCAGCTTTCATTTTCCAGGGTTCAAATTTTACCCTAGGGCCTTACCATTGGGCTGTTACTACTGGTTACTGTATTCCATTTTCTGATGTATTTATTTATTGTTATGAAGGATGTCAAATAACACTCCTGATATAGGATGAGACATGCGTCTGGTTTCATGTTAGCCTGCAGTTTTTCAATGAGTTTGTTACCTCTGAGGCCCTGATTCTGTTGCCTTTAATTTGGGAAACTCAACGCATTATAGTTTGTTGTTCTGCATGTTGTTTTTTATGTGGGAACAAGTTACTTTTGTCACAGCAGCCATACCGTACTTGGATCTAGGGAGATTTTTCTTCCCTCAATTGAACCTAAATTTGCAAAATTTCTCATTTGTTTGGGTTGACATTGACATTATTTGGCAAATCCGTTTTCACACTTAAAGTGACACTAAACTCAAGTGTTGAATTTTAAAAATGCATTCAGGTACCTTAACTATTAACAAAAATGTATTTTACTTGTGTATCACTCGGCTGTAGATCCTCAAACCATCTCTGAATTGGTGCTGACACTGTCCTTCCTTCTGGAGGGTGACTACTTTTGTTCCCCATGGTGCCTGTGTGTGTTGTAATGTAGCCACCGCTTTCACCCCAGAAACTCCTCTTTCCTATCAGAGTGTCCCCCCCCCCCTTTTACATCAGAGTTCCCCTTTTATATCAGGAGCCCTCTTCACATCATTCTTCATTCCCCCTTCATATCAGAGTCTCACTGCCACACAATTTTGAGGCTTCCCTGAGGAAGCCGGAAGGCACGCTGGTTGAGAAATCACAGTATTGCAACAATGGTGTTGCTTGCTTTCGGCTTGTTATATTTTGCTCCCTTTTTTAGGATATATCACTTACATATATAAATACGGTTTTTGGTAACCTTTCACTTAAGATCTGTTAGAGTCCTTTAGAAAGATGGAAACATTGGAAGATACGTTTTGGGTTACACTGTTTTTTACATTGGTAGACGTTCTAAAACCTTACATTGCTTGAGGCCAAGAAAGACTTTCAGCCAGTTGATGTCCATTCAAATAATGAACAGGCAGGATGGATAATGCTCAGACCACATCAGTCACTGCTCAGTTGATTCGCCCAATAAACCTGGAATAATGTCAGAGGCAGATAGCATTCCAATTGCTTGAGCTAAGTTTAGATGATTACATTGCTTAGGCCCCTCAAAGGAAACCAATGCAAAGGGAAATGAGGGGGGCACCATTGCTGACTCCATATTGAAAAGTTGCTCCTTTGAGTTATAGACCCAGATAAACATGGAGCCAGTGAAGTTAGAATTTGAATGTCAATGAGAAATTGGCAATCACAAGCTACATACTTCTATCAGCACAGATTTCCTTTCCAGGCCAGTCAACCCAAAACATTTAGTTTGAAGTGCATGCCAGCATGTTGAATCATTTATTGCCTTCTATACTTCTTACCAGCTGTAATTGAGTAGGTGTAATGGCTTCACGTCTTCTCCGATCCAGCTCTGATATTAGCAGAAATGTAACAAGAAAAATCCATTACCAGAGTAATAATAAAAAAAAAGTTTAAAAATATATTATTTGATTGATTGTTGTCCTTTTTGTATTTGCAGCACATTAACCACTACGGATCACCATTTGCTGTGACTTGTACCTCTGACTTGAAAACACCAGCCTGACCATAATGGTGACGATCTTCTATGTTCAGTGTTCATTGTATATATGGCTAGTGATTTTTTTTTTGCATTTCCTAATAGAGTTTTGCATTTCCTTACAGCAACAGACCTTAGAATTGGCACTGAATCGGGCTGAGGTAAGCATCATTTTTTCCCTAAAGTGGTCGGTTTTAGCTTTGAGTCACCTAGTATAAAAATCTTACTTTCTATTATTTGGCTTCATGCATTTTTTGAATACATCATTATTGCAGCAAGACACACACATTCAACTGCCGATTAACACCTCTGTGTCTAGCAGCCTGTTACCTAAGATCAAGAACCATTGTTGTTTTTTCCATGTAATTGTTCAATGATTCCCTCCCTGTAGAGCCATGGATAATTCTAACATTGCTGGCTAGCTGTACATTCCAGAATAACCACAATATATAGAATTCTGAGGAGTGCAGGGCGGCCTGGCTTGACTATTCCTTATTTTTCCATCTGTCCGCTCCCTTGGTCTTCCTGCACTTACTAGAATGTACTATGCTTTCTTAGCCTGAACTATAGAACTATATATAAGAGCTAAATAAGTGTAAGTGAGGACAGAAAACTCTGGATACATACAGAACATGGGAAAATGGACGAAGGATCCAGACATTACATTCAGCAGTGGAATGTCTGCAGTGTTCAGCTAGAAAACTTTTGTATTACTTTTTCCTGTACATAGGTCACAGTAAGAGCAGGAATGTTCCTTTTAATGGGCTTCTTTTACCTTTTGCAGAAGATTTTAAGTTGTTTCCTAATGAAATGAAGACTTTGGAATGCCCCAGGGATTTCTATTTTGTTATTTATCTTCTCCCTGACCACTGTGAGTCTGCTTTTTCTCTGGTGTCCATTTCAAAAGATGCACTCTCGGTCCTGGGCCCCCTGCAGCGTCCATGTGACTATACTGTGAACTGCAGAGCCTGTAGAGAACTATAGTTCCCATGGTGCACCTGCAGAGAGAAGGCGGTAGAGCAGTGATTGAGAGCAGTGGGATGATGCAACTGCTTTTGGAAGGAGGGAGAGCAGTGGGCGCATTCTCCACATGTCAGTGCACACAGTAGGTAGAGAGCTTCCAGACTCTGCCAACAATCGGGTCATCATGCATTGTACATTGGATGCTTGACTTGATACCAGTAGCACATTTTTGTACACCAGTTGACTGATGGCTGCCATGGGCCCACTCCAGCAGTTGGAGTTGGATTTAGCATTCTGGAAAAAGAGGCATTGCATCACTTTTCTGGCACACATTTAAGCTGACATTTAACAAAAGAAAAGTAAACTTGTGCTCTGTCCATGTAGGTCAGAGAAGCATGCTGACCTAACGGCCCTTCCAACCAATGCATGTACTTGCTATATATTCACTGACCTTCTGTTGGTACTTCTGTTTATGGGGAGCATGTAAGCCTTTCTCCTTTGACTGTGGGGATGGGAATGTAGTTCTTAGCCCTGTGTAAGCTCTGACCAGATTGGTCAAATAGGATGATTGTAGTGGTGGAGGAGTGAAGAAAAGCTAAGTTAGGGGTGGGTGAGTTAAGTAAACCTGCCATAGCTAAAGCACTGGTTTATATTAAATGCTAACAAAAAGGAACATGTTAAGGACCAGCTATCCTAAGAGCTGTTCGTATCTAAACTCTTACATGGATCACCATGTGCAGAAGCTACCATCTTGCCTTGTCTACATCATTGATTGTAGGAAGGGTTCACCTGTCATTCAGGGCTTATTCACTCCATGTGTGTTGGGTTGGATTTAACAGCCTTGACAAATGCATAGACAAGGTGGTGTCCCTTGGGTTCAGTGAAGGAAAAATCCGGCTGCACTCCGTTCCATGCTGAATCAGTTTATTGATAGTTTGCCAGTGACACGGAATCCTGCCCGAGGTCCGCCCCGTCTACAGTTTCAGATCATACCACTGTACTGCAGTGGTGTTTGCTGAAAAATTAGGACTTGCTCCACTTTTTTTTTTAAGTGCAGTGTGTTCTGCGATGCTCTGCTGTGCATAAGGATGAATGAAAATTCATTTTAGGACATTTTTATAAAGTTATAAAAAAGTGCGATGTGTCATTACAATGCATCAGCAACGCCCCCCTCATACTGCACACCGGCGGCCATGGTATAACACGGCTCAACAAGCCCTCAAGGGAATTTTATCCTGGAGATGGGCTTTAAGAATTGAGATGACCATACACCAGTAGAATTTCCATTGAACACATTTGTTTTCAGAATGTTTTTTCAATTTAATTTAATTGACAATCAATTTCAACTGTAGTGACCAAAGAAATCGAAGTAGCAGGATGGAATTTTTTTTTTCCTCAAATTACAAAAACTGTGAACGTGGTTTTCCTTCGGGAAGCTTTATTTATTCCAAAATCAAACAAACATTTTGGGCAGCAGTCATCAAGTCTCTGATGGCATTATCGAATGTTCTGATGAGAATTTTTGTATAAACGTTTATATGAAAATCTACCTGTGTATGGTGTATGGTGGCTTTATATGTAGCTGGTCCTTTTTGCAAGATTCATTTTTTTTCCCATGTGTAGCTTTGCCCATTTCCTTTAGACTGCAAGCTCTTCCGGATAAGGGCCTCCTACCCTTTGTTTTATTGTGTTTTGCAGTATGTCAATCCTTTTCTTTTGTGATATTTTTTTTTTTCCTTTTTCTGAATTGTTTTTTTTTTTTAAATCTGTATTGAAAGTGTTGTAGAATATATTTGAACAATATAACCAATGGGAAATACAATATTGTCTACAAGGTGCTGTTCTGTCATCTGAACAAATGGTTGTTCTGTATTTTGTCGCATTGATTGAATGATTTGCCTACATTTCTAAAATGTTTTGTGTTTTTACGGCATTCGGTTATATGGTTTTTATGTGTTTTATATCCATATGCAAGAAATGGCAAACATTTTAATCTTTTGTTTCTGTTTTTACAGTATGTCATCGAAAGTGCCAGACAAAGACCTCCAAAACGCAAGCATTCATCAGGAGGAAGGTAATGTGTAATGAATTGCTATTGTTGGTGGTGTTAGTATTGTTCTATTCTAGTGCAGCTGATAACTGGCTTTTTCTGTGGCATCTTATGTGTATTTTTCTTTTTAAGCTCAAATTGGTCCACAAGGTTCCCAGGCTGAAAATGTATTTTCCCCTTACCTACTAGCTCTTTACGTCCTCAGTTTTTATTGCTGGTTTCAGTTGCTCTTTCTGGAAATCTAATTAAGCTTGTAAAGAAGCAACCTCGGTCGAATTCCAGTAGATAGCAGAAGCTACTGTGCAAGAGGTCCAGGTGTCAATACAGAGTCACCGATGTCATCACTCCAGTAATAATGGGAATCAGCTGGCTCAGGAAGTCGGAATTCACATATGTGTACATTTGTAAACGTCAGGCCAAATGATTTAAAGAAGTCATGCTAATATTGTTTAGGAAAGCGAGTTTGAAAGCGACAGTGGCAAAATCTAGTATTGCAGACATGATTCATCCCCCTGGGTGGAGGCAGGGTAGACATATACAGATTAATACCTGTTATCTGTACAACCATCTAGAACAGCGGTTCTCAACCTGTATAACCTCAGGACCCTCATTTGTCCTTGGTCATTAATTCGCGATCCAAGTCGCACCGCACTGTAACGCACAGTATTGTGGTACCGCATGTTCCGACCAAATTGTGGGCAGGAGGTGGGTTCGGGGTGCCATTCAAATAAATGGCAACGCACCTCCCTCAGCAGAATAAACAGTAGGTGCGATTGTGTGGTAGTTTGCGATTAAAACGACAGACACACAAAACCAGAGACACAATCTCACACATACCCATTCCGAAAAAAAATTTAGGTGTTCAATGTGGACTGCTGTGCAGTAACGAAGCTTCATCCATATGTGCATTGCTCGTACAGCTCCCTTGCACTCCCTGTAGAGGTGTCGGGAGCCAGAATGTGACATCACTCCAATCATGCGAATGAGCTGTAAGCAATGCATGTATGGATGGAGCTCCCTCGTGGCCATACCCCCTGCACCCCACCTCAAGCTGACACACGATGCCAGGCAGCATATTTTGAATAGCTATTCAGCAGGAGAACTGACAGTGCTGCGCTATGGGGGAGGCTGAGGAGCCTCTCCCCTAGTGCAGTGGAAGGCATGCAGCAACCCACTGAATATGGGGTCACGACCCACCAGTTAAGTACCACGGATCTAGAGAATCTCGGAGCATGTACAAATTAACATTTAAGTAGTAAGCCCTACTTCCAAAAGGTTTTCAATTTCTATTTTTTTTTTTCCTTTTCTATTTCAAATTCTTTTATTTTAAATTCACAAATAACAACATATATACAAGTCATACATACATACAGACATAAATTCCCCTATATTGCTAACATTCCGGTCTTCCCCTCCACATTAAGTCCATCTTGCTTCATATATCGTCTCTCAGGCCATTATACATCATCCAAGGAGACCAAATTAGCTCAAATTTTTGTTCATTGTCATGAAGCATGAAACCCCCAGTCCCCCTGTCTTTCTTGTTCTTTACAATGTCTTTTTCGAAATCCTAGGGCTTTTATTATCCCAAATAAATGTAAATATGCAAGATTGAAGTTTCTGTAAATCAAGTTTACGTACTGCTATGGGTAGAGCTCGGAAATAATATAATATTTTTGGGAGAAGGGTCATTTTTATAGCGTTAATACTCCCCATCCAAGTTAGATTACTCAGTTTCCATCTAGTTATATCTTCTTTTAACTGACGAATCAGTGGCCCATAATTTTTGCAGTACAATTGGGCGAAAGACGCCGTAAGTCTAATCCCCATATATTGAATAGCCTCTTCCGCCCAATTAAAGGCAAACTGTTCTTTTATCGTCGACCATATATCTTTGGGGAGGTTCACATTAAGAGCTAGGGACTTATTCGTGTTTACTTGCAACCCAGATGTTTTGGAGAATTGGTTCAACAATTTCAGTACATTTGGCAATGTTATTAGAGCAGAAGTGATAAATAACAATAGATCATCGGCAAATAAGGCGCACTTATGTTCTAACGGACCGCAGGTGACCCCTCTAACGTCCATATTTTCGCGTATGGCGATTGCCAAAGGTTCAATCGCCAACGCAAAAGGCGAATGCAAATAGCAATGGAGAGAGCGGGCACCCTTGCCTAGTGCCCTGAGATATCGGGATAGTTTCTGATGGATATCCCTGCATCTTTATTTGTGCCGATGGATGGTCGTATAGCACTTTCAGCATGCTCATAAAAATTGGTCCAAATCCCCATCTTTCCAATACAGGAAACAAATATTTCCATGAGACCGAGTCAAAGGCCTTCTGAAGGTCAACTGACAAAAGCATGCCTGACTGAGAAGGGCTCCCGTCCCAGCCTGATTGTAATAGCGTCATAATGTCTATTGCCCTTCTTATCTGGTCAGGGCCCTGACGTCCTATTATAAAGCCCGCCTGATCTTTATGTATGTATTTAGGTAGAAAACTGACCAGACTGCCTCTTTAATTTTAACGTTTAATACCAATGGTGTGTATGAAATTGAAACAAAAAAGTGATCGATCCTTGCGTAGCTTTGATGTACTTGTGAAAAGTGAGTGTAGTCTTTCTTCTTCGGGTTTAATTCTCTCCAAATATCTATTAGTGCGTGAGAGTTTATTATCTTTGCCAATCTCGTGCCTTCTTTAAGTAAATATCTCGCTCTAAATGTACCTGGATTAGTTCTATCGAGGCTACTATCTAGAGCCAGGTTGGAGTCCCCCGCACAAATTACAACCCCCTCAAAATGTGGTGCTAAGCTGTGAAACATTTTAATAAAAAATGGAATTTGAGCTGTCTTTGGTGCATAATAAGATATCAATGTGACCAACTTATCCTCCAAGTGTCCCTTCAAAAATAAGTATCTACCCTCGGGGTCTTTAATCTCCATCAGGGTACGGAAGTTGATGTGTTTAGAGAAGCAAATAGCCACTCCCTTCGTTTTATCAGGTGCACTACTCAAAAAAAACTGTGGGAAATGTGAATTCATATATTTAGGTTGATTACTTTCAGAAAAATGAGTCTCCTGTAAGAACAGAATTCCTATCTTTAGTGCGTTGTAATAATGAAATGCCATTTTTCTCTTTATGGGAGAATTAAAACCCCTGACATTATGGGATGCAAACATTACTGGTGTCCCCGCTGTCATACCCCCTGCATTTTCAGCTCGCCCCTAGACTCTGGAGCTTTCTTCCCAGAATGCCTATCCCAGCTCAGGGGTGTCTTGAGGGCTCGGTTGCTCAGTTTGAGTTTTGCGTGAAATTCATATAGGGAAACATACCTAACACACACAAAAAAACCATATATCCCATATACACACATAACATATAACACATAACACAGATCTTGAACAGGTTCACCTCCTGCCCTCCCCCTCTTCATATGTATTGACCCCATGTCAATACCAGACTTGACCCCCCTCTCGGGAAATCCCGACATCTAGGTCAAGTCAGGGCCCACATCTGCCCAGTACGGTCGAACCCCCACTCCTCTTTATAGCTCCTATAAAATTTCTTTAAATAGATTTTTTTGCTGGATAATAGCATAATCATACCAAGCAGCAAGAGTAATAAAAAGAATGGAAAAGAGAGGAAAAAAAAAAAGAAAAAAACAAAGAAGAAAGAAAAAGAGAGGAAAGAGAGAAAAAAAATTAAAAGAGAAAGGGAAGGGAACGGCTTTTTTTTAGCTCTTTCCTCCCAGGGTTGATAACATTCTTCCCTGAGGCTTATGCCATAGTGGAGATATGGGACGATAGTCAGCCCAGCCACTATTGTCCGAGTGTATTATTTCTGGATCTCCAGGAAGCAGTCCCAAATGTCTCAATAGTATGTTATGATTGAATAAGGTTTATTCTCAAAAGAAAATGTCAGCCTAAAAGGAAATGCCCATCTGTATTTTATTCCCTTGGTTATTAGGACCTGTAATAGAGGTTTCAAAGTACGCCTTTTCTGTATTGTAGCTGGCGAAATATCAGCATAAATCTGGATTGGATGTCCTGCCATAGTAAGTTCTGTGCGTTTCCTAGCGTTTTGCATGATCAGCTCCTTTATACTATGGAAATGCGGTTTTACAGTGATATCTCTGGCATACCCCTCTGAACTCTTAGCCGTAAATGCGCGGTGGATTCTGTCCAGTTCCAGCTTATATTCCTCCACGCCAGGTATCAGCTCTTTCATAAGGAGCTTCACATTAGAATCCAGATCAGTTATTGCTTCAGGGAGCCCCCTGATGCGGAAGTTGTGACGACGTGATCTGTTTTCTAAGTCATCCACTTTAGCGTACACATCATCTAGTTGGTTCTGCAGATGTCGTATATCTATTTTATGTTGGTTAGTATGTTGTATAGTTTTATCTAGTTTTGCCTCTATAGAGTCTATACGCATCCCCAATTCTCTCAGATCCGATCTTATCTCTGTAGTAATTTGTATAGCCATCTTATTCAACCCCTGTTCCAACATTTCAGAGAAATGGGTCAAGATGTTATCGTTTCCAATTCCTCTCCCTACCTCTTCCCCTAGGTCAGCATAGGTGGGGACATATATCGGGCTGGAGGGGAGAGAAGCCTGTTGTGACATGAGCGTGTCTTCTAATGTCCTCTCAATAAGTGATCCCGTCGAGGCAGGCGAGTGCTCCCCTTTACTCACCACTGCCTTCTTCGTGGAGACCGACTCATTGCTCCTCCTCTGTGAGATGCCATTACCCTCTCGAGGGCTCATCACCACCGCCATCTTAGTCTTGCCGCTTGCCGCCGTCTTAGCGCCCTGCGCCTCCTTCTTTTTAGATGGTCTCCCGGTCATTGCTGATTTTCAGTCCAGTGATGGGGGACTCCCCGGCTGCCTTCTCTGTTTGCTATAAGCTGCCAGCTCGTGTTCGTTACGGGAGCAGAGGTTCAGTTCCGTACTACAAGGCCTTACACTGTTAAAACAACTTAGGCACATACTGCATTTAAAGTGACATTAAACCCTCAGATTTTTTAACATAAAACAATACTGTAATGTGTGCCTTACTGTAATCCATGGTTGTTTCCCTTCTCTTTGCTGCTCTTCCTTTTAAATCTGTATCTGTTCTCATGCTGGGCAGAACTTCTGTTTTGCAGCAGACTGCCTTGTCTCTGAAATGGATACATGGTGTCTGTGTATACGTTTGTATAGGCTTGTAACCTGAGCCAGCACTACAGGAAGAGGCACTCAGCTGCAAAGGGAAGTTCTCCCCAAGCATGAGAAGACATGAGGATTTAAAAGGAAGAGCAGCAAAGAGAAGGGAAACTACCATGGATTACAGTAAGGCGCACATTGCAGTATTGGTTTATGTTAAAAAATCTGAGGGTTTAATGTCACTTTAAGTACATTAGAAATAAAACCGTTCTATGGGGTGAATGGGTGGGTGGCAACTTGTGAAGATGCCTGGACTACTGTGGAACTACTATTACGGCATATTATGCAGCTGGCTGACCTTGTGCACCTTTTTGGATGCCAGACCCTAATCGGGGACCTAATAGGAGGAAATGGAGAACTACTGGTTGCCTATAGTGGCAATGAAAGGTGATAGTATACTTAATTTGCAGTTTAGGTGGTGCAGCATCTCATGAGTCTCTGTAAGAAGTTGAGACTAGGGATGCACCAATATATCGTCCGCTGAAACATATAGTCCGAAAATGGCACTTTTGGCATAATGCCGAAAGTGCCATTTTCTGGCCGATACATTCATACTATATTCTCAAGTTATGAACGAACAGGAACACTCATAAGAGGATTCCTGTTCATTGATAACAGGGTATACAGAAAAAGAGATTGAGGACTTTGTGTCCTCAATTTCTTTTTCTATTTTAAAAGGGAAATATCCGGGGTCTGTTTAGATCCCTAATATTTCCCTGAAGCCCCTAAAAAGTATAGTAAAAAAATAAAAATATTTAATAAAAAATGAATAAATATAAAAAAATGTAAAAGTTTAAAAAAAATTAAAATAACATTTTCGGTATCGGTTTCGGCCTAACAATTTTTTCTATTTTGGTTTTTACATTTCTATTTCGGTGCACCTCTAAATGTGAGTGATTTACATCACCTCCTGTTCATTCATTCATTTAATTGTGGTTATAGTAAACATACTCTGTCCTCATGTTATGAATGAACAGGAACACTCAGTATAGAGGATTCCTGATCAATTACAACTGGGGCTGCAGAAAAAGAGATTGAGGACTCCGTGTTCTCAATCTCTTTTTCTATTTTAAAAGGGAAATATCAGGGATCTGTTTAGACCCCTAATATTTCCTCGAAGCCCCTAAAAGTAAAGTTAAAAATATTTAATAAATATAAATTTAAAAAATAAATACCCTTCTCCATCCAGAACGAGCAATAGAAATATTGGCATTCGTTGCATGTTAAAGCCTATATCCAGGTGACAAAACAACAACAAAAACTCCCCTTGCATTGGAGCTACCCCGCACTGTCAGGGTTTGTTTACTAATCATTTTGTCTAGGGGAGCTATGTAAAGGACTTACTTACCTGATCATTGCTCGCTCTGCCTCCAAGACCGGTGCCCATCTTCTTCCCCTCTAATGCAGGAGCCCGTAGAGTAGAGGGAAGAGAGGTGAGCGCTGACTGCTGGGAAGTAGGGTTCAGGTAAGCGAAGTCCTCTTCACCATACCCCTAGACATTAACTAGCAGTTAATCCTTTCAGGGCAGAGGTAGCCCCACGGCAAGGGTAGTAGCGTTTTTTGTTTTTTTTATCTGGAGAGAGGCTTTAACCGGGGGCTGCAGCATAACCGTACTAGTGGACTGGTATACAGTTTATTTTAACTGTAATGCACATATGATGGAGGGGTAAAACGAATGAGTTGGGAAGAAACGACAGCTCCAGTATGATGTCAAAAAGGGTGTATGGTCCTGGTCTGCATTTTAGCTGCTTTCCCAAGAACGTAGATCAAAGTCCAGGTTTTAATGAAGGTACGGCTTGTCTTTAGTCTCTATAGTGCAAATCCTAAGATGTGTGGAGCACCTAGCTTGTTCACCAAGTTTTTCTGGTACTAAACATTCCTGTGTAATGTGAAGTCATAGACCATTTCTCCTGGGATCTTTGAAAGTGCCTCGATATGTATACCAGGCAATAATGTGCTAAATGACCTGGAATGTATAATGTCAAGAGCGAAGCAAGGCATACGTGTTAAAAGAAAAGACATCTGTAAATGTTCCCTACATCCTGTGTTCATTTCTGTTGTAGGAAATCGGTGTTCCATAAGCTGTATGACCTGTACATAGAAGAATGTGAAAAGGAACCGGAAGTTAAGGTACGCTTGGCCGTCGTCCCCAGACTTGGTGGATTTCAAATCCCGAAACGAAACAGTTCTGTTTGGCAACACGTTACACAGAACAGACCCCGTAATGTGTTTAAAATAGAGAACAAGTCCTCTCTCTATTATTGCTAACATAGTTTTCCCTTCTTATCCCGACTGGTGCAAGGTGTCAGTATTGTTTCTGTTAAAGAGAGCGTTGCCCAAGTCCAGTGTAAGAGACTGGAAACATCCCTGTGCTGAGTTTGCTATGTAATACACCTCTACTATTTTAAATATGATTTCATCTTTTCTCAGTGTCAGGTTAACCTCCAGCTCATATTTTTTTTTGCAGTCATTTTGTTGGCTGGAAACGATTACCCCCGCTGCTTCCCAGTGTTCATTTATTTAATATTTGAGCATTTATTTTATTTTCTCCCATGTAGTGCCTGTGAGTGTGCAGCGGAGCACATATGGAACAGTTTAGGGGGCTATGTAGACATGCAGTGACCTCATGGCTCCAAATAGCCACAGGTGGTCCTTGACTTATTTTTCTACTGCTTAGGGCGCAGGCTTGCCATTTTTTTTTCCCAGCATGGGAAATTTAAATATTGTTTTTACATATGAAATAGCTAAACACATAGCAGGGAATTTGGAATGCAGTGCGGTTGGATCACTTCATTTTGGCACATGGATTTCAACACTGGTTTTTCAGGGTCATTATTTAGGGTTTTCATGCCAAAGATTTTATTGCATTATATATTTTGAGCTGATAGTATTTTCAGCACCAGTGTTGTAATTCATTGTCATGATGGTATAATTTCTCACCTGAGGTTTAGGGTTCATGGTTAGGTTTCGGTTAAGAGTTAACTTAAGGGTCAGATCAAGTAGATCTGCCACCAGTTCAGACATTTCAGACTGAGCAAATATGGTAAATGGCTTCTGTGACAAGCTATATATGAGATTGATTTATTAGAATTTTGTGCACCATTGTAGAATTTGTTTAGTGCTGCACTTTACTGTTTGGATCCTTAACAGATAACCCAGAGATAAAGCCAAGTATATAAACATTGCATGTATTACTCTTGTTTTAAAGGAGAACAAAGTACGACAGTAAAATGCAATTGTGCGTATGAGTGACAAGCAAAGTAATGGCATTATGTTCTCAGTACATTGTACTGTTTATTTACTATAATATAAAAACATGATTTACACCGTTCATCACATGAGCACACAGGTCTAAAACAAACTTAAAGCCAACTTCAGGCAAACAGCTGAATACACAGCTATTACTACTACTACTCTGCCACACAGCACAACATAACCCAGTCTGGCAAGGCAGGAGACCTGATCTTACTATGTTGCAGTAAAATAACACTTAGGGCTAGTTTACACCGGATGCAGTTGCGATGTAGTCCGTTCAGTTTGGCAGCTGCATCAAAATTGTATCACAATGCTTTCCAATGGGATTTCTGGTGCAGTCCGTTCCAATGCAGTCAGAAAAAATACTGCTTGTCTCATTTTAGATACACCCGATCCCAACGGAACACATCAAAATGCATCAGAAAAGCATGCAAACGTACTGGACTGCACCCGAAAGCCCATTTGAAGCTGACAAAATTGTGGTAAAAACACGGCAAAATGCATCGCACCTCAGAAAGTAATTGTTTTAGTATTTTCATTTATATGCATCGATTTTGACACATGGTTTCTACTTTGTGTGCATAACACTAATTGGATTGATACTGTGAGGCTTTTAGTGCTACACTGTTGATTGATTTACTCTTTGGGCTCACCGCCTTAGTTTAGCAGCTACTAGCTATTCCGTTTTTTTTCTTTATTTTCCACAAGCGCAGGTTTTTGTATTTCCATCTGGTGTGAACTAGCCTTTACAGGTCTTGTCCCTACCAGTGGTGTATTTAGGTTTTGTGCTGCCCTAGGCAAGACTACACTTGGGGGCCCCCCCAATGTAAATTTGCCCCACCCCTTCCTGTATAAGACATTTTGCGTAACCTGTCATTCGCTGTATCCAGCTTCTGACAGGTTGCGTTAGTAGCATAGCAGGGAAGCCGGGGTCTCAGGTGGGCTTTAAAGGGTCTCTTGTGACCCCGCATAGCCCACCTGAAACCTTGTGGAGCCCACCACAGAATCTGCACTTAGTGACGCACTGGGCTCTGCACTTAGTGACGCACTGGGCTCTGCACTTAGTGACGCACTGGGCTCTGCACTTAGTGACGCACTGGGCTCTGCACTTAGCAAACCAGTGGAATTTGAAATAAAACAGAAGAACACTCAGCTAACACCCAGAATACAAGCCCTCCCTGAGCCCTGCTATCTGGTTGTCTCCTCAGTAGGTGCAGCCTGGTCACTGTTCAGATGCTTTGTCTCCTGCAGAGCCCGCACTGGAAGAACAGGACAGCAGCCACTGTGAATGTAAAAGTGCTGCTTGCTGTACAAACTGACAGCCCTGGAGCCTCCTGTCTTGCCTTCCTGCTCTCCGATCCAGTGGGCCCTGGGGAGGTCAGGCCGCATCTCACACAGCCCGGTCCCCCCGCCTTCTCCCCGCCTCCTTCACCCAGCCTTGTTTGCCTTGCGGTGGATACGCCCCTGGTCGCTACCCCAGTCTGTGACTGGACTGTGAAAGTAGAAGCAACACACTGATGAGCTCATCTTTCTTCCTATCTTCCTATCAGTATGTTCCTTGTTAGCACATGAGCATTGAAGTTTAATAGATTAGCTCTTTTGTACCGATTCTCGCACTCCTAACCCAAGCTCTGCTCTATAGTAGTCCGCAGAGGCTAATATCCAGTTAAATTCAAGTACTTACATGGCTTGCATTTAAAAAATTGCATTTTACAATGTATTAATAAAAACAAAAGAACACAAAAGGGTGCAATGCAATGAGGAACTAACTAGGCAGAACATATCAGGAAAAATGCTGTTATTTACATATAAGTCCAGGGACCAGAGGAGGGACGGCCTGTGTGGAGGATCGAGGTCCCCGGAATGTATGCCCGAATCTGGCTGGTCTGCTGCCCGAAAGTGTTCATCCACGGGGAGAGAGGAGAGAGCTGTGAACAAGGAGAGGGGAAGCAGATCAGGGACTCCGTCCGTGTCACCGCTGCGTGATTGAGAGATCCAAGCGGTGTGGAGGAGACTCGGCGGTGTTACATCTGGCTGGGCTGCTGTGGCTGCGGCTATAGATAGCAGTACTTGGTCTCTGTCAGATCGGAATGGAGCGGTGTGCGGGAGCCGTGGTAGCAACAGTAGAGGGATGCCGACAGGCGGCGGGCGGTTGAGTCAGTGGTAATGGTAAGGTAGAGGATATCAAGAGCGAGAGAGCAACGCGTTTCGAGGAAGCACCTCTTTTCCAAGCTCTGAAAGAATGGTGTAACAATGTATTAATGAATGCAGAGCTGCGTTAACTGGTGTCTTTTATATCTGTATGGAGTTTAGCTTTAATAAAGGAAATGCACTCACTTTAAAAGTGAATTTTGATTGAGTTCTATTGTAGAGTGTATATGGTAATGAAAAGGCCTCTCTCTAAAGCTCACACTAGATCATCACTAGCTGATTAACACAAACAGGAATCTGCCTTGCGGATATATCAACTACATTTCACCACAAACCTTTTTTGTGTTCAGATAATGCTTTACAAAACAAGAGGAGTTACTTTTTATATAGATGAAATAATGCAGAATTGTAGGTGTATTTATTGGTACATTTCCTTTCTATGGAGTCAGATGCCTCCTGTTTTGAAATATGACCACTGCATTTCAAAAGACCTTTACCTGTATCAAACCCTATGCCTGTTGCCATTCATTTACTCCAATTCTCTGCACTCATTCGCCTGTTTTTAGTTTTTACATTTTAAAATATGGCAAAATGATTAGGTGTATGCTACCTGATGTTAGCACAAGTGCAGCATTTTCATGTAGCTGCAGGGCCAAAGTTCTTGCAGGTTTTTTACTCTCTGTAGAATGTTGTCTCTAGAGCAGGGGTCTCAAACCTCCGGCCCTCCAGCTGTGGTGGAACTACAAATCCCATGAGGCATTGCAAGATTCTCACAGCCACAGACATGACTCCAGAAGAGAGATGCATCATGGGAGTTGTAGTTTCACCACAGCTGGAGGGCCGGAGGTTTGAGACCCCTGCTCTAGATTAATAAGTGCCGGAATGAGCTGATTTCATTATATAAACTGAAAAAACAGTCCCAGGACTCGTAGATCCGCAGGGTTCTGCTTGTCGAATCATCAAATCCTGGAAAGAAAGTGCTTTATTTGATGTAATGCTCATACAGTCTCTTCTAATGTATTTTTTTTTTTTTTACAGAAGGTAAGAAGAAATGTGAATCTCCTAGAGAAGCTGGTAATGCAAGAAACCCTATCTTGTTTAGTAATCAACCTGTATCCAGGAAATGAGGGCTACTCACTCATGCTACGAGGCAAGAATGGCTCAGGTAAAAGAGTATTTTTCATTTAATAAGATATCTTAGTTTTTATTAGTGCCCTGTTTCCCAGCACTGGTCTTCAGATACCACAAAAGTGCATATGTGAACACTGAGGCACCATTCATACCTGATGTGTGAACGTGGTTTTGTGACGCCGTTGCCTAGTGTCAGGCCATTCAATCAGTGGGCCGCTGCAACCATTTTTATCTGCAAGTGTCGAAAGTTTTTTTTTCTCCCACACGTTTGATGCGCATCCATATTTGGGGAAACCCGTGTGTTTTACTGGCTGCATCGTGTCACAGGAGGCTGAGCTCTCCACCTACACCACCCCGCTCAGCCTCCTGCACAGATTAGGAGAGCGGTGTGTGATCGCTGACAGCTGTCACTGGAGACCGAGTTGGCGTTGAGGGTGAGGATTCAGCTGTCAAATGAGCCCGAATTCTCCTCGCCGCACCGTAGGTTCAGCCTCCTGTGAGAGCCGATCCAGGATGGAGAGCGGGTACAAACATTCAGCGATCAGTGGTCGCTGAATGTATGTACATAACTGGATTTAGTGTGAGTTACTATGTACCAGTTATGAATGAATAGGAAGTGATTACATCACCTCTTATTCATTCATGATTGTGTACATAGTAACTCACACTATAGCCACAAGTTATGAATGAACAGGAACACTCAGTACAGTATAGAGGATTCCTGTTCATTTATAACAGGGGCTGCAGAAGAAGAGATTAAGGACTCTGTGTCCTCAATCTCTTTTTCTATTGTAAAAGGGAAATATCAGAAGTCTGTTTAGACCCCTGATATTTCACTGAAGCCCCCAACAGTAAAGTTAAAACATTAAAATATTTATTAAAATAAAAAAAAGTATAGGAAAAAAATATTCAAAATAATTGTAAAAAGGTTAGAAAAATATATTTTTTTCGGTTTCAGCCTGACATTTAAAAAAAATGTTTTGTTTATTGTCTCAATATTTCATTTTGGTGCACCTCTAATTACTAGTTAATGGCATTCCAAATGTGGCCGAGCAAACAGGTTGTATTCCCATGGAGTGCATTTGGTGCGCTCTCAGGAACCCGAACCCATTGAAATCAAAGGGAGCTCGCACTACAAGCAGTAAACAGTGTCGGCTTCTCTGAACTTTCCTTTTACTCACTGTAGCTGTGAGAAAAGGAGATGTGTGACATGCAAAGTAAGAAATAGTGTAATAAATAAAAGGGAAAATTTTTATTATAAAGTTATTAAAAATACCAAACTAATAGGTTAGCTTTGGCTCACTGTCCACACAAGACATTGCCAGCAGTGCAGATCAAAATATTAAGGGCCCCTTTGCACTATATATCATTCCATTGCAGTATGTTAATGCACACACGTTTGTGCGCGGTATTTTCCACGTTAATGTGTGTTGCATTAAGGAAACAAAATTCATCAAGAAGGAGCTGCCGACGCACAGCAGTGAAAGGAGAAAAAAAAAACAGACCTGTACATTTTTTTTTTTTTTTTAATAATTTGATGCACCACAACGCAAGGCATGTATTCTACAATGCAGATGCCTCTGCGCCTACTGTTTTTATGCATTGGGGTACCACTGTAAATGAATGCACTTTGCATATAACCAGGGCTTGAAAAATCCATTCGTCTGCTCGTCTATGACGAGAGGACAGTGGAGCCCGATGAGCAGCTTCCCGGCCGGCCGTTGTAATTACACGGCCGGCCGGGAGCTTTACATTCAAGCGATCGAGCGTCTCTAGAAACGAGACCTGTCATGTAAATTGGCTATCACATACAATACAAAAATTAAAGAATCATTAAAAAAATAAAGAAAATTAATTTACACGCATATATATGCGTCGGGTGCGCCTACGCGTGAAAACGACGATTGCGCCTACTGTGCCGCACATGTTGCATATCGCCGCAAACTTCTGAGAGCAATCATTTTAGAGCCATTAATCACTGATGACACTAAACTGATGAGCAGTAAAAGCGTTTTAATCGTCGCCTATGGGCGTTTTTTTTGCAATTTGCGGGCGCACGCAATTTTAAGGCTTGACATGTTTGGTGTCTATTCACCCGACGTGACCCCGACTTTTATGTTTTACTAAAATATGGGTAAGAATAAATGTTTTATACCGTAGGGAAACTTTTTTTTTTTTACATTTACCCCCACCCCCCCGTGGTGATAATATACCTCCAAAATAAAGCTCTTTCCGGCCCCATAAAATTTTACATAAATTGCAAGGCTATAGTCCGGTCATGCTGACTGGTGAAAGTTTTGACTGTCTGGTGAGACACCATAACATTTTTAAAGCCCTGCATATAACTAATGATCTATACTGCTCAATCAAGTAATACCGTGTTTCCCCGAAAGTAAGACCTACCCCGATAGTAAGACCTAGCGCTATCTTCAGTGATTTCTGTAATATAAGACCTACCCCGAAAATAAGACCTAGTTCGGTGGTAGGTCTTATATTGCAGAGATCCAAACGGGACCGGCAACAGCACGCCGCCTTCTGGGACATCCAGTCCTCCCCCAGCCAGGTAAGACATCCCTCGAAAATAAGACCTAGTGTCTTTTTTCGTGCAAAAAAGAAAATAAGACAGTGTCTTATTTTCGGGGAAACACGGTATGTTACTGTACTGTATATGCTGTTGACTTATCAATTAGCATTAAAGTGATTTCCACTCATCCTCATAGTTAGAGCCGACCTGTGACAAAGAAGCTGTCGCAGTTCGGCTCTATCTATCGAGAAGTGAGTGAATACATACTGTCATCTCCCTGCAGAGAGCAGTGATTGTCAGTCACCACTCCCCACAAGGATTCCCTTCCCTCTCCGATCCTCCAGGGCTAACTGGAGGAACGGGCAGGGAGGGGGTGGGCACAGATGCCTCTAGAAAGTCAGAGCCCGCTGTCACTCACACAGCTGGGTGGAGCCAGACAGTATTGTTGGGATCCTTCCCGGCTGCGGCGGTCTCAGTATACCGCGAGCTGTAGCTTGCGATATACTGAGCGTTAGGTCACAAGAGGAGGTTAGTATATGTCTTCCTGTGGCCCTAAAGAGAACTAAGGGGAAAAACACTTACCCCCTAGTTCTCTTTTAAGCAAATATTGTGTTTTATATTGTATCAGCTGGAAGATCTTGCATACAGAATAAACTGTGGTTTGGGCATTTTCTGAGACTAAATAGTGCATTTTTGATGTTTACATTTTTTCAGTAATTGATTGTAAAGGAATTGGGAGGAAAACTTTTGGTTCTGGTCATTCATTATAATTACATTTCTTACACTGATACAATTTTAGATGGTCTGTCTATTAAAAATGTTTATTTTATTCAGATTCTGAAACCATCCGATTGCCTTATGAAGAAGGAGAGCTCTTGGAATATCTGGATGCCGAAGAATTGCCCCCCATTTTAGTAGACCTTCTGGAAAAGTCTCAGGTGTGTACAATATATGGCTTTTATTATGATATGAAATGACACTTGTGCTTCCAATGAACCCCAATAACAAATAAAAGGACGGGGGAACTATTGCTGGCACGGCCTCTGAACATCAATGACTAATGAATGGTAAGGGGGGATTATTTGCTGGCACTGCCTCTGAACACCAATGAGTAATAAATGGTAAGGGGTGATTATTTGCTGGCACTGCCTCTGAACACCAATGAGTAATGATAAGGGGGGGATTATTTGCTGGCACTGCCTCTGAACACCAATGAGTAATGGTAAGGGGGGGATTATTTGCTGGCACTGCCTCTGAACACCAATGAGTAATAAATGGTAAGGGGGGGATTTTTTGCTGGCACTGCCTCTGAACACCAATGAGTAATGGTAAGGGGGAATTATTTGCTGGCACTGCCTCTGAACACCAATGAGTAATGGTAAGGGGGGGATTATTTGCTGGCACTGCCTCTGAACACCAATGAGTAATAAATGGTAAGGGGGGGATTTTTTGCTGGCACTGCCTCTGAACACCAATGAGTAATGGTAGGGGGGGGGATTTTTTGCTGGCACTGCCTCTGAACACCAATGAGTAATAAATGGTAAGGGGGGATTTCTGTAAAAAAAATAAAATAAGTCAAAGCAACTGGACTTGCTGTATTTTTCTTGAAGACGTTTCACTGGATATCCAACCAGCTTTCTCAATTCAGAAGAATATTTCACAGACATAAGGGGGGGAGATTATTTGCTGGCTCTGCCACTGAACACCAATGGTGGTGGGGCATATGGCAGTCCCGTGATATTCAATTGAAAAAAAAAGTTTGATTTGGACACATCCTTTTACTGGACTTGCGGATACAAAGGAACACCTTAAAGCTGAAATACGGGCTAAACAAATAGCGTATTATTTCAATATACCATGAGGATTATCAATTCTTTCGTTCATTGAAAGACGCAACAAAGACCTTGAATCTCTGACCACTGGGCTATGGTGACACCTTCAGGAGTAGTGGCACTTTTACCCAGTGGTCAGAGATTCAAGATCTCCAATGTGTGAACGCAGAGAAAAGTATTTTACAGTGAGTACAAAAAAATCCTATGTTTTATATCCCTTCATAATGTTTAATGCCATTGGTTTATGTTTTCTAGATAAAATAAATTTGCCCCATAAGTAAAAGCATCTTGCATAATTCTATAATGTGTAGGTGAATATCTTCCATTGTGGCTGTGTCGTTGCTGAAATTCGGGACTACCGTCAGTCTGGAAGTTTAAAGTCACCAACTTATCAAACTAGACATGTTCTTCTACGACCAACAATGCAGGTAAGAGGGAGAGAAGGATCGCGACAATCTTCACTGATATCCTCTTCACTGGTCTCTGCCTGGTTTCTTTGTCAGATGGTATACTCCTGAAAGGTGCATATACATTTCACATTTTGTGTGACAGTCATTTTTCTCCCAGTATGCATTACAAGGCCCTTCATATTCTTCGTCATAACCTCCTGCAGCTTATATTCAGGAGTCCTATAGCTACAGTAATTGACAACAGAGCCAACAGAGAGTATTATTAGTGACATAATTGTGACTTAGAAAATGAGCAACATGATGGGGCTTTTCATCTTTTGAACATGGGTTTTTACATCCAGGTTTGCATTCTGTTGTACTGACATTGTATACTGTTATCTGTGAAATGTTTACTGATGCAGAAAGTGACAAAACATTACAAACCGGGCCCCAGCACACACTCCCAGACCCAGCTGGGCAGGGAGATATGTAAGGGCCATATACATCTCCCCGCCCAGCTCTTGGCAACCTGGGACACACTTGCATTGCCAGGAACTTGGTGGGATGCCCTGACAGCCTCCCCCTGTTGCCCCTGTTTATGCAAGTAGCGGTGTAAACCCACATGCAGCCACTCATTTGCTGCTATGGTTGGCTGTACTTCCCAGCTGTGTATTCCTGGGTGGAAATACGTCCGCACTTTACATTCTACGACCCCCATGCGCCCATGTTCATAAACCTTGCGATTGTTTTCTGGGTTGCTTGTGCAGCAATATTTAATTACAATGCTCATTAGAGTATAAGGTTTCATATGGCCCCCCCTCACCCTTCTTTGAGAATGATTAATAAATATTGCAGAGCAGAGCTTCTATGGGAAACATTATTTTGGTACATAT